GAATAATACTAATATAACTCACAAATGATCGGCATGCATTTACTATTAACTCTACGCAACTTTTTTTTCATAGTAACGCTACGCAAATCCAAATCTTAGTTCAAAAAAATTTTTGTTACTAATATAATTCATTTCACATTTTTTCTATTAAAATATTAATAAAATCATGCAAAACTCACCATTTTATATTAAAATAGTGTGTTTTGCACTTTTTTCTATTAAAATATTAATAAAATGATGCGAAAATCACCATTTATTTGTTAAAATGATGTGTTTCGCACTTTTTTTTATTAAAATATTAATAAAATCATGCGAAACTCACCATTTATTTGTTAAAATGGTGCGTTTCACACTTTTTCTATTAAAATATTAATAAAATGGTACGTTTCACACTTTTTTATATTAAAATATTAATTAAATGGTGTGAAACTCACCAATTATTTATTAAAATTATGCATTTCGCACTTTTTTCTATTAAAATGTTAATAAAATGGTGCGAAATTCAACATTTTTTGTTAAAGTAGTGCATTTCGCACTTTTTTTTATTAAAAAATATTAAAATAATGTGAAATGCATTACTTTTTGTTACTATATACAATTAATTACCAAAATCCGTAATATTGCAAATTTCATAAATATATTACGGACCCATCCTTAATGGTTTTGCGTAACTTAATTTTTATTTACTACTATCAATATTATACAATTGATCAACATATAATGCAATATATTTATAAACTCTACGTAAACGTGATATGTGAGTTATCCCAAAATTGACCGATCTACGCAAACTCAATTTATGGGTTTAAAAAGTAATTTCATATAAACTCTACGCAAACCCGTTTGTGAGTTATATTAGTATTATTTGGGGTCCTGTTCTAGTTAATTCACACTAAATGATTTTTAAAAAATTAGTATTAGCGAATTATCTATCAATACTAGAGACATATTCTTATCACTATTCAATATATTTCATTTTGTATATGATTACTGAATAGCGAATAATACTAAATTTTGCATTTTTTAAAAATTTTTAAGCATTAAAAATTAAAATGCTAATATATGTATTTACTTGTCATTTAATGATCATATAAATATAAATTAAATTCATTGGATTCATCACATTGAGATAAATTAAATGGTAGTAAGATTATGTCTTTATTATTGATAGATAGCTTATTATTAATACTAATTTTTTATAAATTATTTAGCATGGGTTAACCTATAATTTATCAATGTTAAAGATGTGATCTTATCACCATTCAATACATTTAAATTATAAATTACACTACTGGTGTTCAACGTTACAGTTATATGTATATATGGCCTGGTAAATCATCAGCCAAAAATGTAATTCGTAATTCAAAATACGTAAATAATTACATAATTCATAATTAATTATGTATAATGTAAATAATTACATTAATCGTAATTATTAATGTCTTTGTAATTAGTCAAACGTACCCGTAAATAATTACGTTTAACATAATTACCATAAATACTATTAGTAATTAATTACATGATATGTGAAAATGCGAGTAAAATATGCCAAAACTGATAATTCAGCAGTTTATATGTAAAAATGAAAAGAAAATCGCCAAAACTGATAGTTCCAGCAGTTTTACATGTAAAAATGAAAAGAAAATTGCCAAAACTGATAGTTTCAGTGTTTTACATGTAATAATAAAAAGAAAATCGCCAAAACTGATAGTTTTGGCATTTTCACTTGTAGAAATGAAAAAAAAATGCTAAAACCGATAGTTCTGGCATTTTCACTTGTAGAAATGAAAAAAATGCTGAAACTGATAATTCCTAGTAAAAATGCAAAAAAACGCTGAACTAATAGTTCTGGTATTTTTATTTGTAGAAATGCAAAAAAAAATGCTGAAACTGATGGTTCTAATGTTTTTGCTTATAAAAATGCAAAAAATGCCGAAACTGATAGTTTTGGCATTTTTACTTATAGAAATGCAAAAAAAATGCCGAAACAGATGGTTCAGGACCCCGGATATCTAATATAAAGGTCATAATGGACTTTTGGCCAAAAACACCCCTTTTTGCTGAAACTCAAAAAATCGTTTTTTGTAAATATCTCAGCATCCAGTAATTCAATTTTAATGAACTTTTTTTTATTTTGTAGCCCTCATTTAGCTCTACAATTTAAAAAAATGTTCATCAAAATTGGACCACTGGATGCCGAGATATTTACAAAAAACGATTTTTTGAACCCCTGAAAAATGGGCCAATCTGCCGAAAGTGTGACTTATGACCTGTTTTGGAGATATCCAGGGTCCTGATGGTTCCAGCATTTATATATATAAAAATGCAAACCCAATAAAATGCTGATATGACTTTGTATAAAAAAAGCACATAACCCATAATCAGCCAATAATATTTACGCTAATTACGTATGATATAAATAATTACGTATTTACGTATTTTTCAAAAAATCTGGTAATTAATTACCAGGATTACAAATTACATATTTACGTATTTTTCAAAAAATCTGGTAATTAATTACCAGGATTACAAATTACGTATTTATATGAAAATAGAAAATTACCAAGCCATGTATAGTTATATGTATTAATTATTTTTTTATTTATCATATAATTTTTTTATTCTTTATTATTAATAGTTTAATTAAGATATTTCTATTAACAATTAATAAAATATTATAATCTATATTGCAATATTTAATGCTATATATCATATACACTATACAGTCACATCTCCATAAGTGCATCCTCTATAAGTGCATTCTCTCCCTATATGCACACCATAGCTTGGTCCTAAGTTAGGGATTTAGAGCTAAGTGCACACCCTCTATATTCTACACGTGCATGTAAGGATGGGTCTGCAAATGATTTTCAAATTCCGCAATATTGCAGATTTTAGAGTTGAATTGCGATTAGTAGTATTATTAAATAATAACAATTTCTATTGGATATTGATTTTAATAATGAATGTACAATTCGTTATTTAATTAGCATAATTACATTTACTGTATTTGAAATATATTACAGGAGATGATTTGAGAAGTGTTAATATACTAATAATTATCTTTTGATTTTTACTTTACTTTAACAACTTTTTAGGAAACTATATAGCTTTAATTATTTTTAGTTAATTTTATTTTTATTTTTATTTCTTGTATTATATTTTCTTTTATTATAAATGTTTAAATAAAATTAATAAAAATAAAGGCACTATGTTATATTTGCATCAATTTTAGCCAATTTTGACCTTAATTTTAACTTTAGATCTCTAAAACTGAAATATTTTGATTTTTGACTTTTAATTTCAACTTCATGTATATTATAAATCATATGACTATATATTTCTTTTAATAATATTAGAATATATACTATTTATAGATATATACTATTATATATTATTGGTTGTTACTTTGCAACAGAATCATAAAATAGTTAAAATCTGATTAATTTGTCAAATCAGATTTATTCAGATTAAAAAAAATCAATTTTTGAAATGCTAAATTCATTAGTAAATTTTAATACTGTCACAAAATGAAGTTTAGAATACCATTTTCGATTTATTCAACTTTTTCAATTTCATTAAAATTGATCTATCCTTTTTTGGGTATAATCAGCAAAATTTGTTTGCTCATATGTAAAGTCAAAAACATTGTTTAAAATCCACTTTTTCTCCTTAAGTAAATTTGCAGAGCAGGCCAAAATACACTTATTTAATGATTTTCAAGTTCACTTTAATTTTAGTTTATAAAAAATTTATCAAATCATAATAATTTTAAATCATGTTAATTATACATGCCACCCAAATTATTTTGGACTGCCGTAATTATAAGTAAAATCCCAAATTCAATTATGGCATCCCAAATTATTTTGGCACTTTATATAGTAAATTATATATAAACCGAATGAATTATGACATCCCAAATTATAATTATGGCATCCCAAAATAATTTGGGCAGCATGTATAATATTAATTCTACTTCTACTATATGTGAAAAAATTTTTTTTTTAAAAAAAAAATAATTGTATTTTATTTATTTATTTTATTTTAAAGAGTAGTTATCTATGTCTAATACAATTATAGCTATATGTTTAATAAACAAAGGGAACTATCTGGTATAAGAAAAAATATTACGTGATTTGACTTCAGCATAATGTCACGTGATAAAGTTCTAATGTGTACGATATTAACGTACGGAACTGGCCGGAATTAACGCACGTGCACGTGCATAACTCCTAAACTCGGGCCGCCAGTACGTTAAGATTGTACACCCCCCCTGTAAGATAAGGACGCCCTATACTATCATTTTTTGATCAATTTCCAAAAATGGTAATGCTAATATAACAGATAAGTAGTAAAAAATGAAAAGAAGTTATTCACTGGCCGGAGTTAACGTTACGTGCAAGTGCATAACTTCTACGTAATAATTTACAAATCTTATCAACGGAGATTATCTGTTTAACCTGATTTGAAATATCTAAAAAAAAAAAAAGGGTAAAAAGGACAATCTGGACCGTCTTTTTCCTTTGGGAAACGACGAAACAACAACATGATCGCTCGTCAGTTATCGAGTTTTTTAAAAGTATGTATATTTATACTTATACTAGTTAACTTTGATTTCTTCTACACACTTTATAAGTGTTAACAATTGAATAATAATCGTAGAATGCGCATTTGTCGAAAAAGTTTCCTGTTCGTAATTATGCTCAAGTTCTCGCAGGAGACATTTTGAATAAAAAAATACCAATATCCAATTTTGAAAAAGATAAATATATTAATTATAAAAGGATTCAAGATAATTTGACTACAGTTAAAAAAAGGTAAAATTATTTTCTCATTGTTTATTAACAAATTTCACAATATAATTATAACCAACAATCTTTTTCTTCTATAATCTTTTTTTAGGCTTGACAGGCCATTGACACTATCCGAAAAAATTCTATATAGTCATTTGGATGATCCTCATGGACAAGATATAAAACGTGGTGTATCATACCTCAGATTACGTCCCGACCGCGTTGCCTGTCAAGACGCTACAGCACAAATGGCCCTCCTTCAATTCATGTCTGCCGGTATGCCAGAGGTTGCAGTACCTACAACCGTACACTGTGATCACTTAATTGAAGCTCAAATCGGCGGCGAAAAGGATTTGGACCGTGCAATAAAATTGAATAAAGAGGTATATGATTTCTTGGCATCAGCTTCTGCTAAATATAATATTGGTTTTTGGCGTCCCGGTTCTGGAATTATTCATCAAATTATATTGGAGAATTATGCCTTCCCGGGTGGTCTTATGATTGGCACTGATTCTCACACGCCTAACGCTGGTGGTTTGGGTATGGTTGCCATTGGTGTTGGTGGTGCTGATGCTGTCGATGTCATGGCCAATATTCCATGGGAATTGAAATGTCCAAATGTGATTGGTGTTAAATTGACCGGTTCAATAAGTGGTTGGACTGCTCCTAAAGGTATGTAATATATATGAACGCATTAAAAGCGACGTTCAATATGTTTTTTTCAAATCATGTCAACAAAGAAAAGTGATAACAAACAATAAATTATTTCTATATTCTTTTAGACGTTATTCTTAAAGTAGCCGGTATTTTGACAGTCAAAGGAGGTACAGGTGCTATTGTTGAATATTTTGGTCCCGGTGTTGAATCTTTATCTTGCACTGGTATGGCTACAATCTGCAACATGGGTGCTGAAATTGGTGCCACTACATCACTTTTCCCCTCTAATAAACGTATGGTTGATTTTCTCCGAGCCACAAAACGTGAAGAAATTGCATCTTTCTCTGAATCCTTTGCCCATAACTTGCGTGCTGATGAAGGTGCGCAGTATGATCAACTTATAGAAATCAATTTATCAGAATTAGAGCCTCATATCAATGGTCCATTCACACCTGATCTTGCCACTCCTATAAGTAAATTTAAAGATGAGGTAGTAAAGAATGACTGGCCAGCGGAATTGAAAGTTGGTTTAATTGGTTCATGTACAAATTCATCATACGAAGATATGTCTCGGGCCGCTTCATTAGCAAAACAAGCCATTGATCATGGAATAAAAGCAAAATCGACGTTCACGATTACACCTGGATCTGAGCAAATTCGGGCTACTATTGCACGTGACGGCCAGGAAAAAGTACTAAAGGATGTTGGTGGCATTGTTCTTGCTAACGCCTGTGGTCCTTGTATTGGGCAATGGGATCGGCAGGATGTTAAAAAAGGCGAAAAGAATTCCATCATTACATCATATAATAGAAATTTTACGGGACGTAATGATGCTAATCCTGCCACTCATGCATTTGTAGCATCTCCAGATATTGTAACTGCATTTGTTTTCGCAGGTGATCTTCGTTTCAATCCACTAACTGATACACTCATAGATGCAAATGGAAAGCCTTTCAAATTTACGGGTCCAACTGGTGACGAGTTACCCGTAAAAGGTTATGACCCTGGTCAAGATACTTACAAAGAACCTCCAGCGGATCGTTCATCTGTTAAGGTAGAAGTGGATCCAAAAAGTAACCGACTTCAATTATTGCAACCATTTTCAAAATGGAACGGAAAGGATTTTGAAGAATTTCCTATTTTAATTAAAGTCAAAGGCAAATGTACCACTGACCACATTTCTATGGCTGGTCCTTGGTTGAAATTCAGAGGGCATTTAGATAACATTTCAAATAACATGTTAATCGGTGCTATCAACGCTGAGAATAACACTGCTAATAGTGTCAAAAATATTTTCACCGGAGAATATGATGCTGTTCCTAACGTTGCTCGTGATTATAAATCCAAAAGTAATTAATAATATTTATTTATCCCTTTTTTTTTAAAAAAAAAATGATTCTAACAATTTTTGTCAACAGATACTCCTTGGGTTGTTATTGGTGATGATAATTATGGCGAGGGTTCATCGCGTGAACACGCTGCTCTCGAAGTACGACATTTGGGAGGCGCAGCAGTAATTGTAAAATCATTCGCTCGTATTCATGAGACTAACCTTAAGAAACAAGGGCTTTTGCCACTTACATTCGCCAACCCATCTGATTACGATAAGATCGACCCATTAGATAAAGTATCCATTGTTGGTCTTACTACTTTTGCTCCCGGTAAACCTTTAACGCTTAGAGTTCATAAGAAAACTGGAGAAACGGTAGATATTACTGTTAAACATACATTTAATGAAAATCAAATCGAATGGTTTAAAGCAGGATCGGCTTTGAATCGCATGGCTGAAAAACATCAAAATTAAAAAAAAATTAAAAGTAAAAAAATGTGTATTTCGAAAAAGCAATAATTGCAATTTTGTATAATATGATAAGATAATATGTTTGTTTAGTTGTTAATAAAAAAAATATATATATTTGATTTTATTCAATATTGTGAAGAAATTATTTTGTAAATTAACATCAAATTATCCATGATAAAATTCATACAAAAAACAAAAGGTAAGGCGTAACCACTATTCACCACCAGTATCAATATCCGAGAGCTCTCCATTACCACCACCACTACCGCTTCGGTATATTTGTCTTTATAGTGGTTAATAGTTAGGAGTAGTATTAGCTGCATATATAGATTAGGTGACACCAAAATATTACAGCGATATAATGACAAAAAAGAATTTATGCTTTTTTAGATAATGGCTGGTAGAAGCTATTGCCGACGTTGACTGACATTATCATAATTCCGGCCCTGAGGAATGCGTATACTAACTACCCCAACGGCACCCAGAAAATTCTTCGAACTCGGCCGGCGTTATGCACTGACACGTGATCGAAGAATTTAGGATGTGATGAATAAAACGTGACAAATAGAATTTCATCTACTTGAAAAATCTAAGTCCCTCAGATAAATATAAACAGTGAAACTCGGACAGGGTGTGACGATGTGATAAATAAAACAGATCACGTGATCGAAGAATTATATTGCGTATACTGTACAATCATGTGATGTAAAATAATGGAGTGACGTAATTTACTTTATCAATAAAATTATAAAATTCGACTTTCGTACGATATTTTGATTCAATTGATTCGTACGGTCATGTCGATTTATCCTCTTTACAAGGAGGTTTTTCCTCCAACAGTGGTTGACAATATAGCTTGCGCCGCTTTCACCTCACCCAGTGATGTCAACGTAATAGTTGCCCGTACGTCTTTTTTACAAATTTACAAATTTATTGAAGATGAACTTATCACAGAAGAGAATCCCGGAGAAGATGATAGTAATTTAACTCAAGAACTTGGTAAAGATGATGATCAGGTAAGCTTATGTCGAATAAGTGGGTTTAGAAAATATATGTTGGTGATTTTAGGTCAAGAGTAAGCTTTGAAAAATCGAGGTTCTTGTTTTCGATTGGTTAGAAGTATTTTTAAAATAAATTAGTTACTCAATAAAAGCTCAATAAGGTTTCGAATCGCGAGATATGTCTATAGATCATTAATGAGCTTTAGTATTTACTTTAATAGTAGAAGTATAATGTTATTTTATAGAGGATTTTATATAATAGTATTCTAGTGAGGATGATGAAATAGTAATTCAGCTAATTAAGTGTATATAAAATTCCAAAAGCAAAAAAAAAATAAACAATAAAAAAATAATAATCATTTTTATACAAAATTTCGTCCAAATTTTTTGTGATCTTATACATATTCCCGATTTTACTTCTTCAACACCGTTATAATTAAAAACATAATCAAAAATGACACTGTAGAATTTCCTTTTTCCAACACTCAAACCGGCTGCAAACTCATCTTCATCAAAGACTGCTCATCTTGAACTTGTCGCACAATATAAACTTTTTGGTAACATAGCCTCTATGGGAGTTGTGCGAACGACGTCTTCGGGCATTAATGACATGGATAGCCTTTTGTTAAGTTTCAAGGATGCAAAGGTTTGTCAAATAATAAGCCTTAAATAAATACTAGTAAATAACATCAATAAATGTTTATCACAACGTTTAATAGATTTCCCTTCTGGAGTGGTCATTAGCGACAAATAGTATTGTTACGGTTTCAATTCATTATTATGAACGTGAGGAATTTAAGGTATTTATTAGTTATTTTGATTTATATATTTAGAAAATGCTAATAATTTTAATCCTCTTTAGACCGAATTTCTATCGAATACTTGTCCAACTGATTTGAAAGTTGATCCTTCCAACAGATGTGCGGTTTTGAACTTTTATGGTAATAAATTGGCCATTCTTCCGTTTCGACAAGAAGATACCGCAAATTTATCCGAAGAAGAAATTGCTAAAATTGCTAGGTAATATATTCTCTTTATTAAGCATGAAAGCGTTTTGGTTAATGAACGAGTAACAAGACAATTAATAAATTATTACTGTATATCATTTGGTTAGCAATTTTCCCTATTTGCAAAGTATTGTTTTTGATGTAACGTCTATCGATTCGCAGATTAAAATTAAGAACGTTATTGACATGGAATTTTTATATGGTTGCCACGAACCCACTTTGGCGATACTTTTTGAATCATATCAAACATGGCCAGGGTAAAATATTATTAAATTTAATTTTCACTTTTCATTTATCGATTAATTAGAAAACGTGAACTTATATATTTGTAATTTTGACATTTACAATTCCAAAATAAATAGAAAATCGAATTCTATAAAAGATACATGTTCTGTTATTACAGTGACATTAGACATTTCTAAACAAAAATATCCTGTCGTATTTACACGAGACGCTTTACCACAAACTTGCTTAAAGTTAATTCCTGTCCCAGACTCTATGGGTGTTATTATAATTGCTGCTGATGCTATAATTTATATTGATGATAGCTCATTAGGAGTCGGAATAGCTGTAAATACTTATGCATCGTCAACAACAAGATTTCCATTAGATAAAACATATGAAAATCTTGGACTTGCTTTAGAGGGATCTTATCATGTTACTTTGGATAATAAGGATATATTGCTTTCTTTAAGCGATGGCAACTTATACGTAATTAAATTAGTAGAAAATGAAGAAACAGTAACAGGAATTCGATTAGAAGAAGCGGGCAATAATACATTGCCATCATGCGCTTGTAAATTTTCGAAGGGGTATTTCATTTTGGGTTCGAGATTAGGAGATTCCCATTTAATAAAATATTATACTTCAAAAAAGGATCAAGAAAAACAAAAATCGAATGGCGCAACAAACAGTGTTAGTCATCCTGCAGATAACGGAGGTGTTGGTAACAGATCAAATACTCCTCTTAAGATGTCAGACTACGAGTTTATAATTTGTGATACTCTTGTCAATGTTGGTCCTATTGTGGATATGGCATTTGGTGAATTGGCTTTTCCAGAAGTAAGATACTATTTGTGATGGAATGTTTTAATTAATTTGTTGTGACGTTTATATTCCCTTTGAATGCAGGAAGAGTCACAATTACATATAATACAAAAAAATCTAGAAATAGTTACTTGCTCTGGGTATAGTGATGAATCTTCACTGTGTATATTTCATGTAAGAAATCAACTAAATTTTCGACAAATTTTAATTCTTAATATATTAACAGATTAATTATATTTAGCGAAATATAAACCCCATAGTGAATAATTCCTTTCCAATGGAGGATTGTACAAATATATGGACAGTTTCTTGTCGAGATTCAATGTTTGCGGGAATTCCTATGGAAAGTCCGGGGTCAAAAATTGACTCTAACGATGGAGATATTTTCGATAAATATCTTTTTATTTCTAAAAAAGACAAAACAATGGTAATGTACTATGATGAACTCGAATATTTTGCACAATCAATCTAATTCTCAGTAAATAGGTTTTGGGTTGTGGTGAAGAATTGCAAGAACTTCAACAAACCGATTTTTATACTGATGGTCCAACAATAACTGTTGGAAGTTTGTTGAATGGGACACGCATTTTACAAGTGTATGATCATGGTCTTCGTCTCTTAGATAATGGTGAGAATGTCGGAATTCTTTTTTTTTCCCATGAACTTAGGTTATTATGAATTCTTTCACATAATGTTTTATTTCATATCTATAGAAGGAAAACTTACACAATTAATTCCAATCGATGAACCATTTGAAAAGGGCTTGATTGTATTTGCACATATTGTAGATCCATTTGTGTTGCTGTTATTCGATAATGGGGATATTTCGTTGATGAAAGTTAATGAAAAAACAAAAATCATTGAATTTCATTCACGACCCGAGAGAATTAACGTAGGAGATTATTTATATTTATATAATAGTATATTTTTAGTAAAATTACTTTAATTACAAATCGATTTAATAGGTTATTCCAACAGTTTCATGTTGTATATATCGAGATGATACAGAACTTTTTTCTCTCGTTAAAGATGCAACTCCAAAATTTTCTTTTTTAAAGTCTGATAAAAAAAGAAAAATGTCTGTTCACCTTTCACCCATGAACTTAGATGATGATGAATTTGATGATTTGTGTAAAGGTTTTCAAACTCAGAATCTAAATGAGAACATTGATGCAAATCCTGAAAATAAAATGGAAATAGATACAGAAGTTAAATCAAATGAATCACCACGTGTTTTAGACGAAGTAAATGAAGAAAATGTCAGTGGTAAAGTCGAAAAATTAGAAGAAGCAACTTATTGGTGTACATTATTTAAACAGGATGGTTCTTTAGAGGTACATATTAATTATTTTTGTCAATATCATAATAATCTACTAATTTTTAATAATTATTCATTCAGATATTTAAGCTTCCTGACTTTGACGAAGTTTTCCTCTTCCCGCATTTTGATTTGTCTCCAGCAGTTCTTTTCGATTTTGCTTCCCGACAGAATTTAAATTCTACACAAAAATCTGAAATAAAAGAAATTTTATTGATAAATTTTGGAAAGAGATCAAAGGAGCCATATTTAATTGTAATTGTATTATAATATAAATTAAATTATCTTTCATTCTTATATTCAATTAAATGTACTTTTATTCATAGGCGCGTACTAGTGTTGGTGACATTATTATATATAAAGCCTATCAATACATTCCTGGCAGTGATGTGTTTGATCCTTATCAAAAATCACAATCACAAGCCGAATTATCTGGGCGTCTTGCTATACGATTTTCACGAGTTTCGCAAGAATACATATCACGCGATACAATCTATAGTGATATACATGATAAACCTGTTTCTAAGAGATCTACTCAACAAGAAAATAGCAATGATATGAACCAGTTTAATGATGCATCAGAAAGGCAAAATTTTCGGCTTGGACAAATAACACGGAAAATAATACCTTTCTCAAATATTAGTGGATATAATGGAGTATTTATAGCTGGTATTAAACCTGCATGGTTGTTAGTAGCAAATAACAATTTCTTAAGATTGCATCCTATGAGCGCTGATGGTGAAATAAAATGTTTTACTCAATTTCATAACGTGCATTGTAAACGGGGGTTTCTTTATGCCAATCATGAGGTAAGAATTAATCAATGCGAATCTATATTAATGTGATATTTTATACTATTATAAATCATATATGATTTTATAGAACAACTTAAGATTATCAGGGTTACCATCAGACTTTCGATATGATATGGAGTGGCCTGTTAAGAAAATTCCATTACGCCGAACAGGTTATGGAGTCGAATATCACGCAGAAATGCAAGTGTACGCGTTAGCAACTTCAATTCCAGTTGAATTTATTTTAGGGGATGAAAATGAGGATCCTATTAATGATGCGGAACAAGGTAAGCGTAATAAATGACAACACGTTTGAATGCGTTGAATTCCATGGTAACTGACTGGAGATCTGCTTTGTTTATAGATAGAGACCAATTATTGCCAGAAACTCTAAAATTTTCGTTAGAATTGATATCTCCAGTAACATGGGAAACAGTTGACAGGTTTGTCAATATAGTCTTATTCAATTTATCTTTTTTATGTTAAATATGTTTTAATTATCTTTATAGATATGATTTTATGGAAGATGAACAAATTCTCTGTATTAAATGTGTAAATCTTCAAACGAAGTCTACATCTAGTGGACGAAAATCTTTCATTGCTGTTGGCACGGGTTTTTTCAGAGGCGAGGACGTAGGTATGCGAGGAAACGTACGTAATCCCTAAAGACACATTATCATATTTTAAGTAGAAAAAGGATTTAACTTATATATACATATACACATTATATAACAGGTGTATGTATTCGAAATAATTGAAGTTGTTCCCGAGCCAGATAATCCACAAACAAATCATAAGTACAAGTTATTATGTCATGAAGAAGTAAAAGGTTCTGTGACTGCAATTTGCGACGTCAAGGGATACTTATTAACATGTGTTGGACCGAAGGTGAAAATATAAATTCATTAATATCATTAGTGCCATACTCGTATTTTTTATTTATTATTCTAAATCAACACATAGATATTTATACGTGCTTTTGAAGATAACGATAGATTAATTAGTGTGGCGTTCATAGACATTCAAATTTATGGTAATAGTGTAGTTTCAGTTAAGGACTATATTCTATTGGGAGATGTATACAAGAGTGTTTGGTTTCTTGGATTTCAGGTAATTCCTTAAAAAGAATATCAGTTTTCCTTTTATACCCAAAATTATAAATTACGATCTTCATTTAACAGGAGGAACCAGCAAAATTAATATTAGTTGGCAAAGATTATCATTCACTGGAGGTTAGCTGTTTAAATTATTTAATCGATGAGCCCATGTTATACATTGCTGTAGCAGATATGGATAAAAATATTCATTTATTTCAATACGCTCCATATAGTAAGCGTTTAATGTTGCGACTTCTGGTTAACAAATTAGTTCAGATTAACATTAAATTCTCTCTTTTAAGATGTTCAGTCTTTCTCGGGACAAAAACTTATTCGTCGTGGTGATTTTCATGTCGGCGCGCAAGTGAAAACGATGTTAAGCATGCCAAAAAAAGAATTAGTAAGAAATAGTCCTATTGAGCAGGGAAGTTCTCGATATTTGGAAGAAGATACTAGTGGAAGCAAATTACTTTGTTTGTGTGGTAAATCAATGGAAGAAATTAAGTTCATTTATGAATCTAGAATCCTATTTCCTGATTTGATTCGTGTATTGATTATTAGGAACCCTTGATGGAAGCATAAGCATTGTTACCCCAATACCTGAGAGGATGTATAAACGATTGCAGCTTTTACATTCTAAAATGGTGACGGGAATACAACATGTTGCGGGTCTAAATCCAAAAGCTTTCAGGTATCTTTATCTTTTAAATTTATTTGTCAACTTTGTAATTAAATATCTGATATTCATTTACATAAAAAATAGACTCCTTAATTCGAAGCAGAAATTAGCTATTAATCCAGCCAAAGGTATTTTAGACGGTGATCTCTTGTTCCAATTCCAAAATCTTGCTATACATCGTCAAAAAGAAATGACAAAACATATAGGAACAACGGTGGAAAGAATTATAGATGATTTATTGGCGGTGCAAGGATCTTGCGACTATTTCTGAGTGACATTATGTTATTTATTATATTGTAAATTAACATTTTTGATATTACCGTAAATAAATCGTTCATGAACAAAATGTATCTTTTATCATTCATTTTATATTTTGAAGATCGTCGAATTTCTTGCGAAAATCATCATAAAATCTAATCATTTCGCGTGTAATACGATGTGTAAAAGAAGTGGTTGCTTTGAGGAAGTGTTCCATCCTTACCTAAATACCAATTAAAAAATTACCAGAAATGTCTGACAAAAAAAAAGGAATAAAGGTATTCATAAAAGATGATACTTCTTCAGCCTCAAGATCTTCATCCATAGCAAGTAAAGCAGCTTCTTGACAAATAGCTACAATTTCGGCACCAGAATATCCGTCGGTCTTCAATAGTTAACAAAGGTTTAATAACTAATGTACAAATATAATAAAATAAACGAAGCTTTTATAATTTCATTACCTTGGTTGCTAATTCCTCAAGATTAACGCCCTTCGCATGTGACATTTTTTTTAACTGAATTTTAAAAATTTCTCTCCTAGATTGTAAGTCCGGTGGGCTTACATACAATATACGATCAATGCGACCAGGTCTTAATAACGCACTATCCTAAATCGATAAACCTAAAGTTAATTCATATAATATATCAATGCCTGTTATGAATATCTTAGATTGCTTACAATGATATCTGGACGATTAGTTGCAGCTACAATAGTTACATTAACCAATGGTTCAATTCCATCTAATTCATTTAATAATTGTGATAAAACCCGATCTGCAACTGAAGTACCACCTTCTCCTACACCACGTTTGACAGTAAGAGCATCAATTTCGTCCTTTAATGACATCAACTTTAGTCTTTTGTGTTTATCAATGAAATTATTAAACCACAACTCTTACAAAAAATATGATTGAAGGAGAAGCTGCACGTGCTTTGCGAAATATTTCACGAACGGCTTTCTCTGATTCGCCAACCCATTTGCTAAAAAGCTATTAATTAAATAAATTTAGCTTGGTTAAAAAAAAAAACTCAATAAAATTCTTAATCTAAATTCTTATAGATACTTTACCTCAGGACCTTTCACGGCAATAAAATTCAAACCAGCTTCGGTTGCCAAAGCTTTAGCCATAAGAGTTTTACTACAACCGGGGGGTCCATATAACAATATACCTTTTGGAGGTCTTATACCTAATCTTAGAAAGGCCTCGGGGTGCTGTAATGGCCATTCTATTGATTCCTTTAATTTTTGTTTGATCTCTTTTTGACCACCTATATCTGACCAATAAACTTTGGGAACTTCCAAAAGAATCTATACGGTGTCAAATTCTTTAGAATCAATCAGTGAAGCTAAAGAATGTCGCACAAATTGACAAATGTACTCACCTCACGCATAGCACTTGGTCGGATTTCAGCCATGGCAGCTTCCATATCTTGTATATTAATCTTTACAAAGTCTCGTTTATTTTCTTTTATACACCTTTTAATGACTTTTAGTCCGGCTTCGCGACAGGTAGCGGCCAGATCAGCGCCAACATAGCCATGGGATTTTGATGCTAATGCGTTGATTTCTTCGGATGTAAGAGTATTTGGAATCTTTTCCAATAAAGTTGATAAGATAGAATGTCGCGAAGTGGAATTTGGAATCCCTTAAATTCAGAGAAATATATATATAAAAAAAAATAACAAATTAATTAATAACAACTAACATTAATAATATTACCAATTTCGATTTCACGATCAAATCTTCCTGGTCTTCTTAATGCTTGGTCTAAAGCGTTTGGACGGTTTGTTGCTCCAATAATTATAATGCGATCATGGTGTACTCCATGAGTTTTTTTATTAGTGATTCCATTCATTAGAGTGAGAAGTGTCGCTACAATACGTTTTCCTAATTCATTTCCTGCCTTTTATAATAAATAAATTTTTGTAAATCAAATTAGAACATTTGATTTAGAAAATAATTATACCTCATCACGTTTAGGACATAACGCATCAATTTCATCAATAAAAATGATTGAAGGTGCATTTTCAGCAGCTTGTTCAAATATATCTCTTAATTTTGTTTCTGTTTCTCCATAAAATTTACTTAAAATTTCTGGACCATTCACGCAAATTACATTTGATCCAGTTTCCGACGCGACTGCACGCGCAATTAATGTTTTTCCGGTACCTGGAGGTCCATATAAAAGAATTCCCTTAGGTGGTTGTAATCCTAATATATATTTTGTTACATTAGCATGATTATTAATAGAATGTTTTAATAATTGTGAGCTTTTTGGATGAAATTACCAAATTGTATAAATAGCTCTGGATTTTTTAAAGAATTTTCTACAATCTCGCGAATTATCTTAATTTCTTCTGATAATCCACCAATTGAATCATAACCGATTTCAAGAGATTCGTCATTTATATTTCTACCTTTAGTAACATTCTTTCATTTACAAACTTAAATTACTATCTGAAAATTGTTAAACCTTTAATTTAATTTCCCTAATGAAAATACACGTACAATTACAACAGATGTGTCTCGGCTAATTGGGTATAACTCGATTTCTGAGAAATCATCACTAATAGCTTTCTCATCTTTCATAGATCTTATTTCTTCCACACGAAAACTTCTTGTTATCCCATGATACTGAAATTCTATATGATTACCTTTCATTAAATACTTAATGTCCACTATATATTAAACTTTTTTTAATTTAATTATATATACGAGTATAATATTAAACAATAAAGACCAAACTTACTTAATATTTCCTTCATATAAATATTAAACGTTTGATCGATGGGAAAATTGGCACTTCCCGGGTTTAGTACAATTTTAGACGCACCTATATTAACGCATTTTATACGCGATAAAATTGCGATACCCCCAATTTCAAGGTTGGCATTTTCGCGTTGCAATTTATTTAATTGGATCTCTTAAAATATTTAAAGAAACTAAGTACATCATAAAAAAACGAGACCACATTTAGAACAAATAATAATAAGGAAACATACGATTATTTTTAATAGTAAACGACGGCCATACGATACCCACACTGACCATCTTTTAAAATGAATTTCATATAAATATATAATTTGATTATTAAATATAATTCTTCATTTTATACCTCAAGGAACGCGTTCTGACATTCCATTCCACCAATTTCCTTTCTAATAATAACATGATCACCAGTACATAACTTATGCTCTCGCATAGTTTCTACATTTAAATAAATTCTCCTGCTAAAACGCGCATTATTATTAGAAGAGGTTTCTTGTACTGAGAGTTTTATTGAAGTCATCTTCGAGAATGAAAATTTCCAAATTTGATTGGACAATCTAAAATTAAATTTTTATTGGTCTAATTTCTAATCTACTGCGGCACAGGCATTTTCGAAGTTCTAATAGTTCTAATAATAGAGTTTTTTGTTTAGAAACAATTGCAATAATGTCCGACATAAAAAAACGTCTTGTATTCTCAATTTTGCAGTTTTTGCAACAATCAATTAAGGATGGAACTATTAAAGAAGAAGACACGGAAGGTGTCGAAGTAGCAGGTTCGATTTCAATAGTTTTTCGCGTTTATTTCAATACTCTTCTAGACCTAACTTTTTATTATACAGTACAATGCATTGGAGAAGCTTTTGGCGTGAATGTTGAAGATCCTGAACAAAAAGCTGCATACTCTACAAAAGCACCTTTGTTGACAATTTTTGAAGTTGCAGTTAAAGCTCAAGAGAAGATAAAGGTCCAATATTTTAATAGTTTTATATTTTAAATAATTTTTTTTTTCTTTTTATGATTGATTATTAATTTTCACGATGGATTGAATATTACAGCCTGTAACAAAATCGGCACCCCCTCAAGCTGGTATGAATTTATCGAATCCTTTCTTGTTATCTTTTGAATTTTCTAATAATTATCTTTTCTTAATGATTAAATTATAGTTGTCGCGGAAACTAAGGTAAGATTAATTAAATTATTAAATTATTCAATTGATTATCTTTTATGTTAATTGTTTTAATATTACTTATTTATTACTCAGTTAGGACTTACTGAGGAACAAAAACAAAAGGCAGAAGAATTGAAATCAGCAGGTAAGTTGTGATTTTGGAAGATTGTTACCTTATGTTGAACCGTATAATATAAATTAATTTATTTATTTATAGGCAACCGCAAAGTTGCTGAAAAAGATTACAAAACAGCAATTCAATTATATGGTGAAGCTATTGCAATTAATGGAGATAACGCCGTGTATTATGCGAATAGGTATTCAACATCTTAAATTGCAAGTTGATTTATCAATTTCAGAAATCGAATTTTATTAATTTCCTATTTAATTATACGAATACTGGATATAGAGCTGCTGCGCACAGTCAATTAGGTCAACATGAGAAGGCAATCGAAGATGCTATTAAATCATCACAAATTGATCCTTCTTATAGCAAATCGTACAGCAGACTTGGGTAAATTAATGGTCATCATTACAGATAATTTTATTCCTATTAAGACACTTAAGTATCTAACATTAAAATGGGTTGTTATTTAAAAGGCATGCTTATTTCTGTATAGGCAAATATAAAGATGCAGTCGAAGCATATGAGAAAGGACTTTCTCTTGATCCTGACAATGCCACAATGAAATCAGCACTTGCAACCGCTGAACAAAAAGCAAGTGAGATTAGGGCAGATCAAGGACCTTCACGAGGAGCTTCACATGATGGAGGGACTCGAGGAGGAGGTGGTGGTAGTGGATTAGGTGGTCTTGGAAATCTCGCCAGCCTTCTTGGTGGTGGTGGCGGTGGTGGTGGTGGTGGCGGCGGTGGTGGTGGGTTTGATATTGCATCTTTAATGAGCAATCCAGCATTGATGAATATGGCTACCCAAATGATGCAATCTGGAGCGCTCAATGATATTATGAACAATCCAAACGTCACTGAAATGTAATTAAAGAATTTTTGTTGTTTAAACTGAATGTTTTATAACAATTAATGAGATTATTTCGTACTTCTTTAGGGCGCAAAATATGATGCGAGGAGGAGGAAATCTTGAAGAGATGATGAACAACCCCGAACTAGTGAACTTGTATGTATTTGGTTTCTTTTAATATTATATATTATTATATATTATCAACTTAAATTTTACATATTTACAATAGGGCGCGTCAGTTTTCTGCTAATCAAGGAGATGCTGGTGGCGGTAATTCTGGTAATAATGAAGCTAACGGAAGAACACAATAGAAATTCAAATATATATAAAAATATATATATTAATAATGACATACATTCATTCTCCCTTTCCCAGACTCAATTAGTATTTACATTTACATTCAATTCATTTTATTTAACTTTTACATTACAATACCATAAAAAGTATACCAAAGATTTAAAAATAAAAATATAAAAACGAAACCTTAATTCCTTTTAAATTGTCACAATCTTTCATACATACATACAATCATGAATACGTGTACAAATATGTTAGCGTAAAAAGAATGAATTTCGATTATTATCATTTAATACTTTTATTTTAAATAATTGTAATTACGAAAATTTTTCAGATAAAGAATGAAGGCTATTACTATTTACATTGCGTCTTCTAAATTTATAACAAGTAGTTAAAAACGTTGATTTATAATAATAGATAATTGTACACTCTCAAATTCATAATTCTTATAATTCTTATAATAATTCTAAATAAACCAAATGACTTAATAAATAAAACAAATCTATTAATATACGATTCAAAGAAAGAGGAACTAATAAAATAGTACATTAAGCGGAAAAGCTGTAAAGAGAATTTCAAGCTTTCATATCTTGCACTCTTTCCGCCATTTAAATATAGCGTAATTGATTAGAAGTGAAATGAGGAGGAGTCCATTTAAGAAAACTTTCATCAATTCTTCTATTCTTATGTTTTTCTTTTGTTTTGTGATAAGAAGCAATAACACCATCACTTAAGCAAAGAATTTGTTGACCTTTATAGGGTTTAATAGCACACAATGATTGAAGAGTTTGAAGAATATCGGTAGTAGCAATACTAGTTCTAGCAGAAATATCTTCAATAGTAATATCTTCATTAAGTTCTTTCGTTTCCAGTAATAATTCAACAATAACTTCAGTCCAATAACTTCTATAAGATAACAAACCAAGATCAGAAAGAGGTTTTTCAGGAGATCCGACTTTTCCTTCTTTTTTAGAAAGTTCGTAAGAAAAAGCTATTAATAATCTACCGAATCCTTTTCTTTGATGTTGTGGTAAAGTAAGAATACAAGCGAGATTATATCCTTCAGTACTTTCCTTTTCCTTTGAAAAATAACCAATCATATGACATCCAAATTCATCTTGTTGACACATAATATAAAACAAAAATGGATCCACGTCATAATAAAGCGTCTTATGATCAAGAAATAGTTTTGATAATAAACAAAGATTTCTACAATAAGTTTTTTGTTTATTACCATCAATTTCAAAAAATGAAATGTCATCACACCTATAAATTTCATTCCCTGGTGGATGTCTAACTGTACATTTTTGTAAATGTCTTCTTAATTGTCTTTCACTAATATAATGAAACAAACAAAATTCACATATATAAACAACTGCCGCATCACTATATTCTTGTGGATAAGGTGAAAAATACCATGTATCAACATCATATTCTCCGAAATGAATTCTTTCTAAATTCTTTACTCTAGAGATTTCTGAATGTGATTGTGTCATTGATCCCGATGTACGAAGCCTTTCAATTTCTTGTTCTTTAGAAAATGTAGCCGCTAAAGGTCCTAAAGGTGTTCCATTACCCGGTGTACCCCCATCTTCATAGTCTTCACCTGTAGCTTCAACTAAAGGTGTTGATGGTGTTGTTGCTTTAGCATTAGGAGTCGGAATATCTTCTATTGCTGAAATTTTTCTTTTTTGTCCAACTGTTGTGCCTACTCCACCACCACCTCTACCAGTAACTTCTCTAAGTGGTGAACCAACTCTAGACGATGTATCAGAATCTCTAAATTGATTACCTCCTTTTCCATTCCTTTTCTTAGCGGGTCTTTCAATATCTTTTGTTATATCAATTCTTTCAAGGCCAACCCATTCATCCAACCTCTTATTGAATTCAACAAAATGTACATAATATTCTGGCTTATCGTTATGCGTACGAACGGATAAAATTTCCGCTTTACGAAACTCTCGGGTTTCTTCTTTCTTTTCTTTTTTTACCTCTACAAAAACTTTACAACCAACTACTATTTCTAAAGCTGTAGTACCAGGTGTACCTGAACGGTGTGTTGGTGTTCCAGGCCTTGGAGAGGGTGAAGCTGAAAATCTTTGTGTCATTCTTAATATTAAATACAGTGATCTATGTCCTCTTCTTCCAAACTAATAATGGTGCTAAAAATTGGTGGATTTCTGAGACCGAGGCGCAGCCAAGGTCCTTTTAAACTTCTCTCAAGGTGACGTTCCCTGATGTCTTCCTCGTGTGTTACCATAAACAATATACTATTGTATCTAGTGTAAATTTTAATTCTAGCCAGAATTCAACATAATCTACTTGAATTTTGAATTATCATTATATCATAGATAATTAACGCGTTTTAAAATAATTTATATATTTTTTGTCATAATATATCTGAGCCTCCAAAAACGGGTGTATTCTACCATTTTCTAACATTATTATGATTAAAGATCATGCAATAATTTAGAAAAAAAGAAAAAAATCCCTATATAACCAAAATTGAAAGAAAACTAGTAATGAAGGAAATATTAATCAAAAAAGAAGTTTAAATCATTAGTAAACTAACTAAACTTACAACTTAATATTTATCTTTCAACTCTTTCAACTTCATATATAAAATGCAAACTAAAAGAATTCTAAAAATCCATAATAGAACATTTATTTTATTTTATTTTATTAATATTTTATTTGTATTATCTTTCAGCTATTTTGCAATAATAATTTAAATTAATAAGTAAAAAGAAAAAGTATTAAATATATTTCTGAAATTTTACTTTAAAAAAAGAATAAAAAGAATGAATTCTATAAATATCATTATATAATAATAACTATTATCATGCTTCACTGTATGATGTTGATGATTTGTAATTTAATTATTTTTATGTGTAAGTTTAATAATTACAATAAACTTTATTTAAGCTATAAACAATACATGTATTATAATTATTAATTATGGCTATTAGGATTATTATTGAAATAACAACAGAATTGATAAAAACTTTATCAGCTGTTAATTTTGAAACTAATTCTTCCAAATTTAGACTTTTATTTTTTCATTTAAATCTTTTAATGACCTTCTTGTAACTTCAATATTACTGTTTGTCAAATTAATAACTTTATGATTATTTAGAAAAAGTTCAATTTTGTTAAATTAATTATCAAAAAATGGAATAAAATTTTAGAATTAATGATTAAAATTTCAAATTCTTATCTGATTGAATATTATTTTTATTAAAACCAAATGCTTCAACAGCATTATTTCATTAAATTTCAGTTTCTAAATACTTATATCTAACAAGTTCTTACTTAGACTTATATCATATACTTGCTTTACATTTAAAATTTGAAAATTCTTGTTACTTTAATATTTGTACTAGCATTTTCTGACCTGAATGATTACTAATTTTATGATCATTCACATTAATTCTGATTAAAGTAACAATTTTTTTCATAAAGAATTTAATTTCTTTTTCAGATACATGTTACTTATGATATCATTGTCCATTAAATTCAACTGTAAAGTATGAAATAAAAAATAATAAAAATTTTGATATTAAATTTGCAAAAAAAAAACTAATTTTTAATATTTACCTTTATTAATATTGCATGGCTTTAAATAAAAATAGAGTTGGATGTTTAGTAAAATAATTTTCATACATTTCAATAATACTAGGTATTTTGGAAATATATAACTTATCATTTTGAGATTTAATATTATTGGCATCATATAGAATCCAACATAGCAGGCTTTCCAATTTTTGAATAATCACATGATGATCGGCATATGTATTGTTTTTAGTTTTTTATTTAATAAATTATTTGTTACAGCGTCATAATAAATAACTAAAATTCACATTTTCTAGTAATTTTTAAATGACGTAATACTGACATAATTGTTTGTATATAGATATGTATTTTATTGGCTGAATATCATATGTATCGCACATGTGATAGCTGTACTAATTTATTTTAATTGTGCTACAAAAAATTTAATAGTGAAGGACGATAAAAAAAATTGATTCTTCAGGTCTTGTTTAAACGTATTACAAAGGAATCTGGCTATTGGAGGTGGAATCCAGAAGTTATAAACACTTGAAACCTTCTTATAAAATGAAAATAAGTATAGTACGTTTATATTA